GACAACGATGAGAAATAAAGGTTTGTCCCTGATGTTTTGTTATAGCAGCCCAAAAGGACTAAGATACGGTCTTGCGGGCACATAGTGGGGTGGGGGAGGGGTGCGCCTGTGTCCCACTGATGGAGGAGGAGAAAACGTGGACCTGGTTCAATATGTGAGCTTTAAGTAAAACTATTGCCCTCAGGCTGGGACAAGGGTGGCACATAACTTGGGTGAAAAATATATCAGTAGTGAAGATAAATGTTACTATAATATTTAAAAAGTCAAAATTAATGCAAAAAAATTCCATGATGAGTAAAATACCAAAATTTGCAATAAACACCAAATCAGTAACAGTACTGGGCTGGGCTATATTTGAGGTTGAGGCAAAAGGAAAAATCAGTGATACTAATCTATGGAAATGGGCACAGGTACATCAATTTTTGGATTTATGGTAAGGCTCTTTCACCCCAGAAAGCATCTTCTGCAGAGGAGGCACTTGGCATCCAGGTAGATAAGATGATTCATCCTGTGGATCCATCATCAGCCACCCCACTGCTTGAGCAATAAATAGTTTCATGAATGGCATGGCCAAGGTGACAAAGATCAGGCCATACGTGGGCCCAACATCATGAGTTCCCTCTTATTATGGATGATCTGGCTACTGTCACTGCTAAATACCTTATCTGCCAGCAACATAAACCAATGCTGGGTCCTCCATATGACACCATTTCTTAAAGAGACCAGGCCACTGGTGAGAAGCTAATTACATCAGATTCCTTCTGCCCTAGAGGAAACAGTGATTAGTCTTTACCAGAATCCACACTTATTCTAGAGATGGGTTTCCTCCCCTGCCATAGCGCCTTCACCAGCATAACCATCCAAGAACTTACAGATGCATGGTTTATTGGCACGGGATTCAAACATTGCCTCAAGCCCAGGGATCTCTTTTACAGCAAAGGAGGTAGATAATGGGCTCATGACCACAGGATTCGTCCAGAAGCAGCTGGCCTGATAGAAAATCAGAATGGCCTATTGCAAGGCCATGAAGGGGAAAACTTGGGGTGCTATCCTTTAGACTACAGTATATGTGCTAATTGACCCACACGTTGGTCCTATGTTCCCAACAGCGGAAATAGATGGGTCCGGGAACCAAGGGGTGGGCGTTAGAGTGACTTCTCTCATCATCACTCTCAATGACCGACTTGAGAAATTTGTGCTTCTTGTCCCCACACCTTGGGTCGCTCTCTGGTAAATTAGCGGTCTTGGTTCTTTTTTTTTTTTTTTCTTTCTTTATTTTATTTTTTTATTCTTATGTTAATCCCCATACATTACATCATTAGTTTTAGATGAAGTGTTCCATGATTCATTGTTTGTGCACAACACCCAGTGCTCCATGCAGAATGTGCCCTCCTCAATACCCACCACCAGGCTAACCCATCCTCCCGCCCCCCTCCCCTCTAGAACCCTCAGTTTGTTTTTCGAGTCCATCGTCTCTCATGGTTCGTCTACCCTTCCGATATCCCCCGCTTCATTCTTCCCCTCCCGCTACCTTCTTCTTCTTCTTTTTTTCTTAACATATATTGCATTATTTGTTTCAGAGGTACAGATCTGAGATTCAACAGTCTTGTACAATTCACAGCGCTTACCAGAGCACATACCCTCCCCAATGTCTATCACCCAGTCACCCCATCCCTCCCACCCCACCCCCCACTCCAGCAACACTCAGTTTGTTTCCTGCAATTAAGAATTCCTCATATCAGTGAGATCATATGATACATGTCTTTCTCTGATTGACTTATTTCGCTCAGCATAATACCCTCCAGTTCCATCCACGTCGTTGCAAATGGCAAGATCTCATTCCTTTTGATGGCTGCATAATATTCCATTGTGTATATATATATATATATATATATATATATATATATATATATACCACATCTTCTTTATCCATTCATCTGTTGATGGACATCTTGGCTCTTTCCACAGTTTGGCTATTGTGGACATTGCTGCTATAACATCGGGGTGCACATACCCCTTCGGATCCCTACTTTTGTATCTTTGGGGTAAATACCCAGTAGTGCAATTGCTGGATCATATGGTAGCTCTATTTTCAACTTTTTGAGGAACCTCCATACAGTTTTCCAGAGTGGCTGCACCAGCTTGCATTCCCACCAACAGTGTAGGAGGGTTCCCCTTTCACTGCATCCCCGCCAACATCTGTTGTTTCCTGACTTGTTAATTTTAGCGGTCTTGGTTCTTAATGAGGGTGGAGGGAGTGGAGGGCACACTCTTCCACTAGGGGACATCATAAATGTCACTGAACTTAAAAACATAACTACAGCCTGGTCACCTTGGGTTTCTCAGGTAATTGGGCCAGAGTGGGGGCGGAAAAAGAAGGAATGGCTAGCACAACTAGATTTCCACTTGCAAAAGAATGAAGAGGGACCCTCTACCTCACACTATACACATAAATCAACTCAAAATGGGTCAATGACCTGCATATAAGAGGTAAAACCATAAAACTCTAAAAAGAAAAATAGGGGTAAATCTTCATGACCTTGGATTTGGATATGGGTGCTTAGATTATGACACCAAAAACTTGAGCAGCACAAGAAAAAAATAAATTGGGCTTCATCAAAATTTAAACATGTATCTCAAAGGACATTAGCAAGAAAGTAAAAAGATAATCTATGGAAAGGAAAAAATATTTGTAAATCATATATCTAATAAGAGTTTAATATCCAGAATACAGTTGACTCTTGAACAATGTAGGGGTTAGGGCACCGACCCCCACATAGTCGAAAACCTATGTATATTTTTTTTTGAAAGTCTTTTTTTTTTTTTTTTAGATTTTATTTATTTATATTTGAGAGAGAGAGAGAGCCATGGGAGGAGCAGAAGGAGAGGGACAAGTAGATCCCAAGCTGAGTGCAGAGCCCACTGTGGACCTCTATCCCATGACCTTGAAGTCAGGACCCAAGCCAAAACCAAGGATTGGCACTCAACTGACTGAGCCACCCAGGTGCCCCTTAAAATCCATGTATAACTTTTGAGCCCCCCAAAACTTAACTACTAGTATCCTACTGTTGACTTCACCAATGACATAAACCGTTGGTTAACACATATTATGGATATGTATTATATACTGTATCCTTATAATAAAGTAAGCTGGAGAAAAGAAAATGTTATTAAGAGAATCACAAGCAAGAGAAACTACATTCATAGTACCATAGTGTATTTATAAAAAAAAAAATCCATGTGGGGGCACGTGGGTGGCTCAGTCGGTTAAGCCTCTGCCTTCTGCTCAGGTCATGATCCCAGGGTCCTGGGATCGAGCCCCCCATTGGGTTTTCTCCCTCTGTGCTCGCTCTCTCTCAAATAAATAAAACCTTTAAAAAAAAAATCCACATGGAGGTGGACTCACACAGTTCAAAAGTGTGTTTTCAAGGGTCAGCTGTATATAAAGAATTCCTACCACTCAACAACAGAAAGACAAACAACTCAAAAAATGGGCAAAGGACTTAATAGGTATGTCTCTAAAGAAGATCTACAAATGCCCAATAAGCACATGAAAGATGTTCAACACCACTAGTCCTGAGGGGAATGAAAATTGAACCATTAACAAGATACTGCTTCACACCCATTAGAAAGACTAGTATAGAAGAAACACCGAACATGTGTTGGTGACCATGGGGAGACGTTGGAGCCTTGTACGCTGCTGGTGGGAATGCACACACAGCTGCTTCGGAAAACAGCAGTCTGGTGGGTCCTCAAAAAATTAAAAATAGAATTGCCAGAGATTCCATTCGCAGGTATATATCCCAAAGAATTGGAAGCAGGGACTCCAACAAATACTTGTATGCCAATGTTCTCTGCAGCACTAGTCAACAGTAGCCCAAGAGGTGGGAACAACACAAGTGTCCATCAACAGATAAATGAACAACAAATGTTGGTTGACACACAGTGGTGTATTATTCAGCCATAGAAAGGAATGAGCTTCTAAGACATGCCGCGACACGGATGAACCTTGAAAACACTAAGCTGGGTAAAATAAGCCAACCACAGAAGGACAGATATGGTATGATTCTGCTTATATGGAATATCTAGAATAGGCAAATTCATTGAGACGGCAGGTAGATTAGGCTACCAGGGGCTGGGGGAAGGGGGAATGAGGAGTTATTGCTTAATAGGTACAGGGTTTCTGGTTGGGTGATTAAAAAAATGTTTTGGAAACAGTGGTGATACTTGTACAATATTGTGGACATAATTGATACCATTGAGTTGTATACTTAAAAATAGCGAATTTTGTGCTATGTGTACCTACAACAGTGAAATGTAGCGATTACAGTAGAGGGGAAATCAACCCTGATTATCATGAAGGATAGCGGTGTTGCTCCACAGTGAGGGCGGGCCGGGCATGTCCCGACTCAGGGGAGTCACTGAGGCATCTCTTGGCGAGGTAACTGGGCAATTGCAGCAACCATGGGCTTAGAGCAACTAAGGACTGAGAACGCTCCGGGTGGAGGCGTGGTCACCTCACCTGGCACATGGTTTAGACAAGCTACAGTGCTGGCCAAGAGGGAGGAAATCTAGAACGGCTGGGATGGGAGGGAGATGATGAATATCACCTGTGGCTCCAGGGCCATCTGCAGTGAAGATTTTGGCTGGTCTCTGCCTTGAAGACTTGGTGACAGCTTGGAGTTAAGGCGGGGCATGAGTGGATCTGAGGGGTAGGAGCGTGGACTGTCTCAGACATGTCTTATGCACTGGCCCACATGCCCTGGGCCTCAACGCCAGTTTACCTGTGGTGCAAGCCTCAGCTTACCTTGCGCTGAGAGCACCTTGCCTCAGGGGTGGTTTTGCTTTTGGCCCCAGGGTTTCCCTAATGCCATGGCAGGGGATGGCGGGAAGAGCATGCACCGCACAGAGTGCAGGAGATTGTCATTCATGGGAACCTTGGGGGGTGGGGACGGCGTGGACGGTGGGGGTGGAGGGGGGCGGGGGGGCGGGGTGGGGGGACTAGGTTGGGGGGCCGTGGGGAGATTGGGTGGGGGTAGGCAGAGAATGCTGGGAGGCCTTCCGCACGCTGCTGGGAAGTCGGCCCGGGGCTGAGCCCCGGCTGCCTACAGCAGTGACCCTCCAGCCTTGATAACGCATCCTTGCACGGGCTGTGCCCCCTTCCCTTGTGCCACTTCTTCCCGCTCCTTGTCCCGGTCCCTGGGGAGCCTCTCAAAGAAGCCATCCTTGTTCAAGGCCTTTTCTCAGGCTCTGCTTTTGGGGGAAGGACCTAGGTTAACACCGTGTCTCCAAATTCCAACTCCCCCTGGAAAAGCACTGAGGTAGACGAGTGGGATTTCTGTCCCTATCAGGCTAAAAAGGGTAAGAACACAAAGTATTTAAGATACTTGTTTATCATACAGACGTGGGTTCTGTAACCGGCAGGCGGTCTTGAAATTCTGTGGAATCACAGGATGCGCCTAGTTATCAGACTGGGCATATAGAGACTAATTCCATCATGGCAAAATGGTGAAGAGAGAAGTCATTGTCGCTGTACAGTTCCCACTAAGTGACATGCTTCCTCTGTTGGATGACAATCCAGAGCCGCGCCTTGAGCTCTCGGCAGCGCCAATGCTTCCCGGATTTCCTGATCTCTAGCTCCCCCTTGTGGTGTCTTCGATTCATGCTCTGAGCTTAGCTGTGAAGCTTAGAATCTGGCTTCCACAGAAACTAGGATTAGGGGAAATTTGTTGCCAAAGCTACTTTTAGTGCTTTTTCTCTAAAGAGAAGTCATCAGGTGTTTGAACAGAGGTGCTACCTCTCGGTTTAGAATAAATTATCATGTCTTATGCTTTGTTCCTCCAGCAAATAACTGTTGAGTGTCCAAGTGGTCTGTAGAGCATGAGATTTCGATTGAAAACGCACCACCTTTCCACAGATGAACAGCCAAGGAGGGAGTTAAACCAGGATCCAAGCAGGTGTGTGCAGGGGAGACAGATGCCACTGTTTGCTTCAACCCCAAATCGGAATTCATCATCCTGCCTGGCTCAGGAGCAGATATGGGGAGCATATTCTCTCTTTATAGTTTGCCTACGATCGATTTCAGTGCATCAGTGCAGGGTGATGTGAACTGTCCTAAATGTCTTATAAAACAAAAAGACAACTTTGCCTTAATCAGGGCTTAGCAGCTTTAAATTTAGTGGGGTTAAGTCCTCAGCACACTCCAGTGGGGTCGATTCTCATACGCTTCGGGTAATTCATATGCATGAGAAGACATTATCATTTTTGGTGCAGCTTTGAAAGGAAGTATTAAGGGCGAGAATTTGATTTTAAGTGATGGGAAGAAAAAAAAAAGGTGTGAATTTAGCTCCAGACTCCGCAGAGGATAAAAGAAGATGTTATATTTCTGTTTGAGAGGTTGCGAATCACTCCAGAATGCCCTCTGACCTTCTCCCTCAGTCCACCTGTCCACAAAATGGCTGGGATTCACTCTGCTGTGCCACCTCTCTGATAGTCTTTGGAGAACAGACAATCTTAGAAAACCCCTCAAATCACTGCATGGACAATAAGTTGTTCTGCAAAGTGATGGTATATATAGAATACTTTTTAAAAGGTACTCAAGATTTGGGGTGCCAGGATGGTACAGTCATTTAAGCATCCAACTCTTGGTTCCCATTCAGGTCATGATCTCATGATCTCAGGGTCCTGAGATCGAGCCCCATGTCAGGCTCCACACTCAGTGGGGAGTCTGCTTGAGATTCTCTCTGCCCCTCTTTCTGCCCCTCCCCACTCTCTAAAATAAATAAATAAAATCTTAATAAATAAATAAGTACTCAAGATTTGTCAATTTTCTCAAGATGATATTTTCTTTGTGTTAATCAGCCATCTCGTGGGCATGTATGTATATCTATGAATAGCTAGAATTAAAAATTTCTAGGAAAAAAAAAACCATAATAATTGACTAGGATGCTTCTGTCTTCTAAGAGGAAGGGGGTGTTGTGTAATTCATTATGGGAATACAATAAGCCATTATACCCAAGGCTGCCCTCCATTTAGAAGAAAGGTGGGCACCAAGCCTAAAAATGTGACCACGCTAAAGGTAAGGTGATAGTTTGGAGTTTGGACCCCCAACTGCTGACAGCTGGTATGAATGAGCATCTAACTGACACCAGCTGTGAAAGGGGAGAGTGCAGCAAGAGTGTGGGAGTGCACCGAGGCTGGCCCATTGGGAAGAGAGTAGTAAGGTGGGGAGAGCCTGGCTGGGGCCCAGAAACTTTCAAGAACCAAGAAGTCTCAATATTCTCTCTCAGGCCACTTGATGGCTCATGCTGTCACATCTCACCCTCTCTGGTCGCTGCAAACCCTCAAAGTCTGGGACACCAAACACTTTGTGTTAGAGATGCTTTGGGGACATCCCGGGAAGATCTGGACTCCCCATTCATTCGGGCCAGGCAAGCGGAGCAGAGAGGATTTCTGCTGCAGGAGCTGAGAGAGGAACCAGGAGGACACAGGCTCCTGGGGCTCCCGCTCTGTCCCCCCACCCCTCTCTGGCAGTCTTTAGGACTCTGTGCTGACATTCCACTGTAAGTGGACTGAGAGCTTCAGCCACTTTCATCTATTAATGGGCGACTTCCATTAAACCCGAAAGACTTGGAGACACGAAAAATGCTGATTAAGTATTTAACAATTATTATTAACATTAGTCACTAGTGAATATCAACTTTGTACTAGCCATTCTTTAGGTGCCAAAGATATAGGGGTAAAGGAGATATAGTAAGTTCCCCTCCTGTGGATCTTACATTCGGGAGGGGGAGTTGTGCAAATGAGAGGTGCCCCGTGAGGGGTGTGATGCTATCAAAAGTCTGTCTTATCCAGGCTGGTTTTCTACGGAAAGGTTTCGCTTGCAGCTACCTCATTGCAATGCATGGGTCATTGCAGATCTCTGATTTCTTTTTTTTTTAAGATTTTATTTATTTATTTGATAGAGATCGAGAGAGGGAGAGCACAAGCAGGGGGAGTGGCAGGCAGAGGGAGAGGAAGAGGCAGGCTCCCCGCTGAGGAAGGAGCCCGACGCGGGGCTCGATCCCAGGACTCTGGGATCATGACCTGAGCCGAAGGCAGCTGCTTAACTGACTGAGCCACCCAGGCGCCCCACAGATCTCTGATTTCTGACGAAGGTGTACAGGTCCCCAACTATGGCCCTCAGGGCGTGGTGTCCTTCCTGAACCCCCCAAGTGACAGCATCACCTATAGCTGAACCCCCCAAGTGACAGCATCACCTATAGTCCTCTCTACAGCAGTATAGCACCAACTGGCACCCATTTGTCTCCTTACGTCTTCCCTCTCCACGACCTGAGGGACCCACAATGAGGAATCTTCTTTCTCTTCACTACTGTCCTATTCCCCAATCTGGAGGGGGGGGCCCTGAGTCCATGTTTGTTGGACAGATGGCTGGTTTCGCTGTGACATGGAATACCATTAACAGCAACGGACCACTTGGTTTGAATTGACTACAAAGACAAATAAGAAATGGCGGCTTTAGCCACATAGTACTCTCCTCCAGAGCCTCAAAACACCCCTGCCAAATAGTATTAATAATAATCTCTTGTGGTAACCAGTCTCCAAGAGAGCTCCCGATGATCCTCACTTATTGTATTCATACCTTTGTGTAGGCCCTGCCATACATATTGACAAATGCTGGGCTGCAGGACCCATAGGATGTTGAGGAAGTGATAGTGTGAAACTTTCGAAGCTAGATCATAAAAGAGGTGTGGCTTCTGCTCTGTGTCTTGGATCATTTGCTCTGGAGGAAGCCCACTCCTTTGTCATAAGGATGCTCAGGCAGCCCTCTGGAGCGGCCCATGTGTGGAGAAGCTGAGGCCTCCAACAGCCATATAAGTGTGCCATGGTGGAAGTCTATCCTCCAGCCCCAGTCGAGCCGTCAAATGACTGCAGCCTCGTGACAGAACCCCAGCTAGAACTGCCCAGGCAAAGCATTTCCAAATTCTTGAGCCATAGAAACCGTGAGATGTATGAGACCTTTATTGTTGTCTTAAGCTACTAAGTTTTGAATTAACCCATCAAGCAGCAGTAATCACAGATAAGGTGATGTTGGTGTTGATTCTTGATCCAATGATTGACATTTCCTCAGTCTGGTATAGAAAAGGAATTTTAGAAAGTGTTAAATTTTCTAAAAGTTGCACCATAAAACCTTAGCCTTCCCAATACATGGCTGCCCCTGAGCCTCCTACACAGACTCTGGAGCTTTCCCTGCAAGAAAAGTAGGCTGAGCAAAGTGAGAGCACTGACGGTCTACTTTATTCCCACAGTCAAGGTGGACAGCAGGAGTTGGCTATCTGACTCAGAGGACTGACGCTGGGATCTGGCTGGGAGGAGACCATCCCTTTGCCCACTGTGCATCCTGCTCCAGGCTCAATTATCTCAATAATACAGGAAAGGAAGACCGTATGTTATGTAAATAAAACAAAAATTCAGCCACAATTCAGTTTTACTGAAATGGCATGCAAATTACTTGCTGGACCTTAGCAGAAAGCAGCCCGGTGAAAAGGAGGGGCCTTGGGAGCGCAGTCAGATTTCTTCAAAAACCCCCCCACACAATGTTCCACTGCGGCTTCATTACTTGCCAGGTGCGCACTGGACTGGCTGGGCCCTTTGTCTTGCTTGCTTCACTGAGCTGGCAGCCAGTGTGGCGCCCTCCCCTGCTGGAGCAGATGGGCCCAGGGCCTTGTTTTCGGGGTGAAGCAACGTGGGCTCCCCCAACCCCGGTCCCCAGGAGCTGGGGCGTGGGGGCCTTCACTGCTGTCCCCTTCTCCCTACACCACTGTCTTCCCCAGATTGTCTGCTTCCTTATTGGAAGCCGCTTTGCTCCCACTGTGTGGGCGCTGTAATCTTTGAGGTTCCTGGAGATGTTTTGAGGAGCTTACTTGAGAGAAATCCCTTGGCTCCTCAGATCGCTCTGTGCACAGCCAACTCCGGCCTGGCCGCCACCAAGGCCACCAAGGCGTGGGCCTCTGATCCCTGGAACAGGGCACTAAGGGCCCTGCTGCCCACTGACCTGGGCTGGCTGCTGACTTGGGCTTCGATAGCAAAGCCCAATGACAACTGAAAAGAACATCCTGTGGTGGGGATTTTGACCAAGGAAGGGGGAGTGAGTGCTTAAGGCCAGGCACCTGCAGGAAGCTTGGTCATGGTCAGAGGAGGGGGCCTGGTAGAAATGGCTATTGGGGGTGCTGGATGCTCTCTGCATCACTGAATTCCTGATCCATGGAAATTGCCAGAAATGATACCTGCTTATCTTCCCACATCTTCACCCCAAACCCCCGTCACCAGGGCCTGAGTACTGAGGTGAATGGAGCATTGTTTACCCCAGTGGCTAAGCCATGGGGACCTATGGGGACCCATGGGGATAGGGTGAGTCTGTGCTCTCATAGCAGGAAAGGGATGTGTGCCAAGAGGCCCCCTGTCCCTGCTGGTTTCCATCCTGACGTCAGGCACGTGTTCCCCCAAGGCAATCGAAATTTTGCAGTGGATAGCCAGCTGTGGGATGGGAAAGGGGGTGGAGGAGAAGGCGAGACCCCAGGTACCTCCCAATGCTGCTGAACCTCAAAAGAATGCTCTGTGAATTCCAAGGTGCCTCTATTCTAGGAGCTCCAACTATGGGATCATTTTCATGTTGGAGAATTCCTAGAACATTCTCCTGTCTGCTTGTCTCCATATTCATAATGTGTGCGTGTATTTTACCCCCCCTCAGCCTCCCTGCCTTCAAAGGCACTCAGCACCCCCCACAACAGTGGGCTTCATCCCATCCCTGCTAGAGAGTGTGCTGTGGGGAGAACAGAGGCCGTGAGGACAAGAGGTTTGGAGTTTCGCTCCGATTCTGTTACTGACAGTGTAACCATGGAGAGCCTTTTCCTCTCTCTATTTCTTGGGGAGCCCAAGAAATCATCTGGAAACCAGGGCGCCTAGATTTGAGCTCCGTCTAGTTAAAGACTGTGACTGGGGAGCCGCGGCTTTTCCCAGGGCTCAGGACCTGTGACCCCATCAGCAGTTCTGGGCTCTAAGCTGAGAGTGTGTTTCACCCGGGACGTGTGGAAATGGTGGCTGGTCTCACAGGTGGTTCTCTGTGTGGCTATTTGGGAATTTTCATGGTCCTTAAATCCTTTTGTTGTGGAGAGGTCCCCTGGGCCTAAAGTTAGATTTGACGTCCAAGATTTGTGGACCTTCCTGGAAGTGGTGACTTCCTGGCAGCTAAGACCATCATGCTGGAGTCAAGGAACATGTTTCCAGATTCAGGCTGGGCTTCCAACAGCTGGGAGTCCGACACCAGTGAATTAAGGGGGGGACTCCTGCCCCCTCCCCCCTCCCCTCTTCTCCCCACCCACAGTGGATTACCATCGAAATAGGATATTAATTAACTGAACCGTGCCTCAAGCATCAAGGTCTCTATTATATATTCACTAACATTATTTACTCCTTCTTGAAATACTGTTTATCAGGTTCATTCAATACAAGGTCTCTGCGTATTTCTTCAGCAATTAAAAAAAAATTCAGTGCTATGCACTGAATTATGTGCCCCCAAATTCCTGTTGAGGCCCTAAGCCCCAGTGTAACTGTCTTTGGGCATGGAACCCATAAGGAGGTAATGAGCGTTCAAGGAGGTCATAAGGTGGGGCCCTGATGTGATAGGATTCGTGTTCTCAGAAGAGACACCAGAGACTTGGATCCTCCATCCCCACCACAAACACAGAGAAGAGGTCCTAAGTGCCCACCCAGGATGGCAGGCCTGCAAGCCAGAAGATCTCTGAATGAATCCTGCCTTGCCAGCACCTTGATCTCGGGCTTCCAGGCTCCAGAACTGCAGGAAATCGGTGTTGTTCAAGCCCCCCAGGGTACGGTAACTTGTTACGGCGGCTTGAGCAGACTACAGCACACACGTACGACACCGCGGCTGGCCGGTTAGAGAAACCGTGTGCGTCACACGCTAACAACACACAGACACACACCGGGGGCCTCAACCACAGTCTGTACTGCAAACAAACAAACACACAAACAAACAAACACCAAAAAACAGAAAACCCCACCCCACATTCTGCCACTGAACAAAGTCTTGAACACACCAAAGTTTAATACAGAAAACAAAAACAACCAAAGCAGCATTAAAGTAGAAATACTCGGGAGAGAGAATTTCTACCCTATGAGCAATTTGAAATAAAAACCTCAGAATCATAATAGTGACTCTACCATCATTTTCTGTAATAAAATATCTATTATAACCGATATGACAATACAATAAAAGTCCTATTGTTCCAGAAACTGTATTCTAACTGAAATAGGATAATTATAGAAATACCTGCCTGAGAATTGCATGTTCAACAGAACCACTGAAAATCATTCTTCTCAGACTGAAAATAAGTCTTCCAGGTACAGAAAACTCTTCAGTGAGATCTCAAATGGAAGACAAGGTGGCTATTTTATTTTTTCAAATCCTTTATAGCAGCGTAACCTTCCAGATGACAGGTGCAGAGGCGCTTCTGCAAGCCAAGAACTGCCAAGGATTGCCGGCCACTCCCAGAAGCTAGGAAGAGGCAAGGAATGATTCTCCCCCACAGATTTCAGAGAGCGCTTGGGCCTGCCAACTCATTGGACTCCTCCCCAAAACACAGACAATAAAGTCCTCTTTTAAGCCCCCTAATTTGTGGTCCTTTGTTATACGACCCTAGCAAACTAATAGATCCACCTGGTATGGGCCTGGCAGAGCACTGAACATTTCACATCTGAAAGGAATGGCATGCATCCTGGGGAAAAGCCTGGGGGCAGGGGAGACCTCCTCCACCCCCAGGGCTGCGAGGAAGGAAGGGGCTCCTAGGCCCACTCTATGGGGCTGGAACCTCTCCTGGCCCCAAACCCTGGCTCTATGGCTGCCTTGGGGCAAATGACTGGCTACAAGTCTGGATCCAGATCCCTGGGAATCCCTAAGCACAAGACTATGGTGCCTCCTTAGAGGTAATTTAAAATAAAAACAACATTGACCATAAGATTTTAGCTTTCAAAATGACATTAAGTTTACTCATGTTTTAATTAAGAGGTCGCAGGGGTTTATGTGTGTGTACCCTGTTTGTGGGATCATCCAGCCCTGGGTCTGGGTGGGATTATCCTGAAAAAGCCATATAAGTTAGGAGCTGGCTAACTGGAACTCTGGAAAAGGTGGGGGGTGGGGACAAGGCGCTGGCCTCAGAGGGCCGCATGGCCCCCCGGCTGCACTCCTTCACATCCAGCCTCTGCCCTCTACCCCAGCCCGGACGCATTCTAGGTGGACCTTGCACCTTGCATTTTCCTCAAGCCTGGAGAGGCTTTCTGGGGACCCTGTTTCCCTTTGTCCTTTGATTCGGGATCTCTGACCCTTAGGCCGAGAGATGCTCCTCCCTCCCCTCAGCAGGCGCAGGAGAGAGCCCAGGGACCTTGGGAAGCCCAAGGTGCTAAATTAATGTTTGGTGAATGTACGGGCCAAAGTCCACTGCTGGTTCTGTGAACAGAGCCTCGCATGCTGGGGGATTCTTGGACCCCCAGCATCGTGGATTGTGGATGGTGGATTGTGAAAGTGGGAGTGGAATCCGATTTCCTGCCTCTCTGGGCACATGAGGCTCACATGTGGGACTCTGGAGATGTTTTTCATTTTCACACCCCATGATATAAACAAGAATCATCTAGATCCCTATGTATTACCTCCTTTACTCTTCAGAATAACCCTATGAGATGGCACTATTATTGTTGTCATTTCCCAAATGAGGGAACTGAGGCATAGAGAAGTTGCATGACTTTCCCGAGGTCACCCAGCCAGATCTAAGGACGGTAAGCATGTCTGGATGCTGGGCCAGTCCACAGTCACCATGATGGGGGCCCCACTGTGCACCTGTCATTCACAGTACCCGCTCTGCGGGAGGCCTGGGTGTCACTAGGGGACTGGTACATTGATGGGCTTCCGTGTGTGCAACCATTTTGACTCATTCATATCAGAACGAAGGTCCCAGGTTGCTGATAGGTGCAAAGTTGGCTGGACTTCCTACAGCTCACCTTCTCTGGAGGGCCCCAACTTTGCAGTTTCTTTTCCTTCCAGCATCTTTCCTGCCTACCAGTGCTCCCCTCCCCACCTCTGGGGGAGTCAGCAGCCCAATTCTTTAAGGAGCCGCCAGAGGGAGCTGCCCGCAGAGAAACGGGAGAATCTCCCCCAGGCCTGAGCCTGGAGATGGTTGAGCTGTTCTTAGCCTCAGTGAACTTTCACTGCTGAAAGTCACCCAAACTCAAGCAAAAGCTCCTATTCAGAAATGAAGGGGTTGGTGGCGCCTGGGTGGCTCAGTCGTTAAGCGTCTGCCTTCGGCTCAGGTCATGATCCTGGGGTCCTGGGATCAAGCCCCGCATCGGGCTCCCTGCTCTGCGGGAAGCCTGCTTCTCCCTCTCCCACTCTCCCTGCTTGTGTTCTCTGTCAAATAAATAAACAAAATCTTTAAAAAAAAAAAAAAAAAAAAGAAATGAAGGGGTTAATTCACTGTGCCCAGGGAACCCTGGTTAATGCTTGAGGCCCTTTCTCACAATGACAGGAGGTAAACGGAAGTAACAAAATGAAGATAGTTAGAGTCCAAAGTTTCAGTTCTGTAAGATAAATAAATGCTGGGAATCTACACAGCATACTGCCCATAGCTAATAATATTGTATTGTACGCTAAATGTATACTAAAGAGGGTAACTCTTATGTTACGTGTTCTTACCACAGGCACACACACTTCCACAGGTGATAATAATAAAAAGGACAGGAAGAAACTTCTTGAGTGATGGATACATTTACGGTATAGATTGTGATGATGGTCTCACAGGTGTATACTTATCCCCAGACTCATCGAGTTGTATACATTAAATATGTACAGCTTTTTTAAGTCAGCAAATATATATATATATATTTTAAAACCCACCTTATTGGGGCATGTATATACTATAGTATATATGTATGTGTGTATGTATGTGTGTGTATATTTATGTGTGTGTATATAGATGTGTGTATATATATGGTGTATATATATGTGTGTGTGTGTGTATACTTACACACTCCCAAAATACTTTCCCATTCAAAAGAGGAACAAGAAGAAAAAGGAACAGAATGACCCTGGCAGTGTGAGAGGCCCATCCTCGGTGTGTACGGCATCCGGGAAAGCCCGGCAGAGTGCTGGTTACAGCGAGGGTTTGAGCCAGGTGGACCCAGGTTAGAGTCTGGACCCCGACACTCCGTACCTGGGTGGCCTTGGGCAGACCCACGTCTCCGCGCCTCACTTCTCCTCTCTGAAATATGGCATTGGTAACCGCGCCTAGGTGGGAGGACAGCGGTCAGGATTAAGTGGGCTAGTCCATGGAGAGCCCCCAGAGCCTCTGTCACGTTTGAGATGGATCAAGGCCATCCCGTGTGTGTATGGGGTTGGGGGTCTTCTCCATACTCCCTTTAAATTACTCCCTGCACCGACCCCCCCCCTCCCCCCCTCCCAAGATGCTCCCCAACCTCAGCTTTGTCCTGCAAGCTGGACTCCCCCTGCCCTTGGGACCCTAGGAGTAAAGCCAGCGCTTAGCCTTTCAAACCCCACCCCCAGGGGCCCCCGGTGCCGGCACCAGGCGGGCGGGGATTCGGGGGCGGGCAGCCTATGTTGGACTTCGGCCCATAAGCTCAGGAGACCTTGGGCTTCCAGGGCTCGCTGGGCTCTCTTCCGCGCCCACGGAAGGGAAGGAGGAGGCTCTGCAGGCCCGAGGGCCCGAGATCCCGGATCAAGGGCCAAAGGCCTCTCCCAGCTTCAGGCAAGTGCGAGGGAAGCCCCGCAACACGCGCGCCGGCCGCGGTAGATGGCTGGCGCCCGGGGGAAAGCGCACCGCCCGAGCGCCACGGGGGCCTCGGCCCGCCCGGCCGGAGGAGGAGGGGCGCCGAGCCCGGGCCGGCGGGCGACGCAAGCGCGGCGCGGCGCCCGGTGAGTGGGGACCGGAAGGCCCCCTGCGCGGGCGGGCCGGAAGGCGGCGGGGGGTGGGGCCTGCGCGCGGGGGCGGCCGCGGGGCGCGGGGGCCCGGCGGGGGGGCGCGGGGGCCGCAGGGGCGCGGGCCGGAGTCTCCGCGGGGCGGGGGCCGCGTGCCCGCGGGTGAAGGGCTCGGCGCGCCGGGGCCGCGGGGAGGTGGGGCGCCCGGGGTGCGGTGCGCGAGGCCTGCGGGCTGCGAGCCGGCCCCACGTCGCTGGGGTATTCGTTCGCCACATGAGGACACTGAGGCACGGAGAGGCCGACGTCACGCCAGAAGTAAGCGACAGCGGCCCAGCTGGGGTCAGAACCTGGGCAGCCGGACTCAGGGCCCTGGCACCCAGCGGTGCGCCCTGCAGTGACCCAGGTGTGTGTATGACCGCCCCAGTCACGCACGTGTATGGGCCGTCCTCAGTAACCCGGGGGTGTGCGTCACCCTCCTCTGTGTCCCAGGTGCGTTGGGGGGGGAGGGCGGCGGCAGGGGTTATATTTGCAGGACAGAGTCCTAGGATACCCGGTGACTCAGCAGCCCTGGCCTCGCCCTGCGGGGAAAGTTTAGAGATGATCAGGAATGGATGCGAAGGATCTCGGAGGGGACGGTTCCTTTGGTGGGGACTGGTAGCTTCTTTAGCCTTTGAAAGAGAAAGCAGGGAGACTTTGAGAGGTTGCAGAGTGACCTGTGTATGGGCCCAGAGTCAGGTAAGGGCGCCCTGCCCGGGTCTATGGCAGAGGGAAGGCAGTACGTGCTTAGCTTTGGCCTCTGTGGCTACGGGAAGGTGGTCCAGGGGGCTTGCTCTTTGGATTTTTCAAGAAGAGTCAGAAATCAGATGTATGTGAAATCTGGTTTCCAAATACTGGCAACACTTCAGTCATTAACAGTCTGTGGGCTAATCTGACAGTGCTGGTGGGGTCCACCTGTGACCTTTGCACCAGGGCCTACAGAGACAAGGTTTACAAGGGCCAGGCCACACAGTGGAATTTTATAAATTCCAACAGAGAAGTAGAAAGTGCTGAAGATGGCAGGTGAGCAAGATCATTCTGACTCCTTAGGAGGCTCCGCTTTTCTAATTTTTTTTTTTTTTAAACAGGGTGCCTGGAGGTCTGCTAGCTTTGAACCCTTCCTCTCCCTGCTCTCTCGCAATCTGGTCCACCTCAGAGAGCCGGGCTGCAGTCTCAGGGATGGGCTCCTCTCCCACCTTCCCCAGAACCTTGCTGTCATCAGCAGACCAGCCCGGTGCTTGCAGGAAAACAGGCCTTCAAATGGGTATTTGCCTTCCCTGTGGCTGGCAGATGGCTTTCTGTGACCAGAGCCCGTGTTGTGGACAAATCTGATTCTGAAATAGGTGTGATGTGGGGAGGGAAGGCCCCATTCCCACCCTCTGAGGTCTGTCCCCATCAGAGTATTCTTCCTCCCTCCTCCCTCCTTACTGGCTTCCTTGTTGCTTACAGACAAAGGGAAGCTTGGAGCGGGAAGAGGAACAGGACTGGCTTCCTTCCGCAATCTGGCAAGCCCAGAGAGGTCAGGAGGCTGGGCTTTTTAGCAGGGAGTCAGGAGATGGGGTGACAAACCTTCCACAAGAGTCTATTGATGCTCTAACATCTAAAATGATTCTCACAGGGAAATTAAACCAGCTTTGTCTTGGATTGAGGCAGCCCCAGTGTTACCTCTTCCTGTGGTGCGGAGCTGCTGACCCCCGCCGGTGATGGGCCACGTCCTCCCCTGCCCTCCCACACACCGGGACACCTCCTGGCCCTCCAGGTGGGCAGAGCCCTGGGCTCCTGCCTTGTGCTGGTCTGTCTGGGCTGAGTGGAGGTTGGGAGTAGCCCTTGCACGATGATGCCTTATTAGCCCCTGTGGGTTTATAAGAAGTCATTCAGAGCAGGTGGGAAGCTAGGTTTTTGATGGATACTCTAGTATGAAGTGGCTGTTTCCTGCCTCCTTTCCATGCATTTTCTTGCTGTGCAGAAAGTGTTTCCAGAGTGCGGGTCCATAATCCTGCAGAAACCCTTTTTAGGAGTGGTGTCTGGGCAGAGTTCCCCGGCCAGGAAGCCAGCCTTGCAGACCATGCTTGGGGTCTTCACATGCCTGGAAATGGGAAGCTCACTGCAGCCTCCAGAGGGGCCTTCCCAGGACTGAGCTTCGTCTCCCTTTTTCCCGGCATAACTGACAGATGGAAAGCTGGATATAAACCAGATAGAAACTATGCGATGATTAGATGTTTTACAGGAGGAATATTAGGTTTTTGAGCTAAGGTTTTACCTTAGGTTTTACCATGATAGTAATTCCTTTGGTTATCAGTATTTAAAATAAATTAGTTTTTGAAATAAAACTCATTTTGTTTGCATAGCTTCACAGGACCGTGGCTGTGAATCAAGTCACACCCTCCATCCCCTCGTTTCTCAGTGACTTCTGCCATGTACAGTTCCTGTGCTGTTCTAATGCTGTTTTATTATTGTGACCTGTGTGTGTGGACAAGTCATGACCCTCACGTGGGCTCTCATCCACGGTGGATGAGGCGGCATGGACTCCATCTACAAGGGGTTGCCGGTAGTGAGCAAAGGGGCAGGAAGCTCGGAGGTATATTGGCAGGTCCAGGACACATGGAGCCAGAGCGGGGGCAGGCACACCTGACTTCTTCTCCAGTCCCTTGAGCACCCCTGTGGGGCCTGCCCCCCCATTGCCTCTACACCCCACTTGGTCAAACGGACACATTTGGGGATGCTTGTTTGCACTTTCTGAACTCGAGGACTAAGTAGCCGATGTCAGATGTCTGGGTCATGCTCTCTTAGAGTCTTGCTGTCCAAAGTGGGCTTAGAGACCAGCTGGAGGCTTGTTCCAAATGCAGAATCTCAGCCCACACATAACATATAACAAGGTCGGGAGTGATTCTGTGCGCTTATGGAGAATTGCTGAGCTCAGAACATTGTAGGGGCCAGAGCACAGGACACTTCTTACCTCTCCTGGGATGGCAGAGAAGTTCTGAACCCTGACTGTGGTGATCCAGCAGACCCACAGACTCATTCTAGGGGCTCAAAATTCTCTCCCAGGATTGGGAGGATGATTTTACATGAGAGGCTGGTTCTGGATTAACCTTGGGTCAAAAAAGAGATATAGCCAAGAGTTATTGAGCAACAGGGTGTGCCCCAAACTTTGTCAAGTTCCTATAGGGACTGCTTGCATAAAAAGGGGAGTGATGGAAAGGAAGTGCCCTTCGAGCCTTGGGTCCAGGTGAAGCCAGAAGGAGAAGCACCAGCTCGTGGCCACTTTGATTTTACTTCTGGGCCCTGCCAGGTGGCCCGTCAGTGTTGTGGGTCCCCATTCCCACGGACCCTGGGGCAGAACCCACCCTGTCCTTGCCCTGCCTACCTGCCAGTTTCCCACCAGTGTGGCAAACAGTTTCCTCACCGCAGAGAATTGTTCTAAGGTCATTATTCCAAAAGTCCATCTGTCTGTCTCTCCAAACATATGCAAACCCCTAGAATTCTTTGGTTTATTTCATTCTCTGGTTGTTTCATCTTACTGGTCATCCTTAGGGTCATCCTGTCCCTGCCTTTAATATCCCCAATGCAGAACTGGATGGGCTTTAGGCGTGGTGGCTTGTAGAAAAGCCAGTGGTGTGTCTCAGTAACAGAATGTTCATTTAGAGCCATCGTGTCTGAGGGCCGCAGTGTTCCAGACTCACACCAGGTACTTTGCATCCATTCTACTCAGACCTTTCCAGAATCCAGCTTGTAGGTGGCTTATAGCCCTTTTACTGGTGAGGAATCTGACGCGCTGCTCAGGGTCCCAGGGCCGGCGGGCGTGGTCACGGAGTCCAGTACTTACCCCTTCTCTGGCTTGGCAGGAGCTCCGTTGCCCTGTCACACAACTGGAGGCTGGGGCTTTCTGCCCTCCGCCAGGCTCTGTGCCCTGGGGATGCCTGAGACAGCAGGAAGGCTGCTGACGCAAGAGAGGGCACGCTCGCCTCACTTGTGATGATCCACTGCAGCTTGTGGCTGGGCTTGCTCCGTAATCTGTCATAAATCAGAAGTTAAGCAGAGGGTGAGGGAGACCCTTCATCCATTCTGCTGATTCTGTTTGCTTATTACCTAAATGCTACCCGGCTTCGTCTGTGACAAGGAACCTCTCACACGGCTGGGTGCTCCCTGTTCTGGCTACAGCAGAGCTCCTGTGCTCTCCATGACGACTCGTCCTTGAAACTCTAGCAAGAGTAACATTTGTCTGCAAATGCTCTGATGCTCATTAACACTCTCCCTTCGAAATGCTTCCTTTGAGGCTCGCCAAGATGCCCATCGTGGTGGAAGACATCATGAAGCTGCTGTGCTCCATCTCTGGGGAGAGGAAAATGAAGGCGGCCGTCAAGCACTCTGGGAAGGGCGCCCTGGTCACAGGGGCTGTGGCCTTCATGGGTGGTCTGGTCGGAGGCCCACCCGGACTAGCTGTTGGTAAGTCAAGCGCTTCACAGGGACAGCCAGCCTTGGGGCTGTTGTTGAAAAGGCCTTTGAGACCGCAGAGACCTCATAGAAATCTCTGTCGTGTGGGAGATGTTCGTTGAGTTGAGGTTGCTTCTGTGACTGGATCTTTGTGTCCCTAATTCATCCTGTTGAAAACACAGGCTTCGGAGTGTGAAGGTCTCAGAAATGCAGGGCATTCTTGCAAATGGCATCTGTGTCAGCAGCCCTGGAGGGCGCCTCTCCCCTCAGGGATGTGTCCTAGCGTCTGAGGATACCAGGGTGTCCTGGGTCCCTTGGATGGGCTCCTTGCCCCGTCCCCATTACATGTCCCTGCAGAAGGGAACCAGGGAGGAAGCTGTATTTGCTGAGCACCTCCTAGGAGCAGATGCTGTCTGGCCATTTTACATGAGCTCATTCAGAGAGACTCCCCATTCTGACAGCCAACAGTCTAATGCAGAAAAAGCAACAAATATCCTAGAGGGGTCCCATCCCTGCCCCCCCGCTTTTCCTACCTGCTTCTCCTTGAGAGCCAGTTTCTGGCAATGAATGGAGGTTTGGCTGATTTTCCCATCATTCCTTGGAGCTAGGATGGGGTTGCTTCCTCGGGCTTAGGAGCAAAAAGGATTCTCGCGTGGCCTGAACCGTGGGCCAGGGCGGCATCAGAGAGCAGGCTGCTGTGTGGGCCTGACTTGAGGGGGGGCTGGATCACGCCTCCCGTGAGGTGCCTCAGATGGACCCTGCAGCACGGGAGTGGCAGAGGCCTGGACTGCCGCGTTGGGCTCAGCGGACGCATCGCTGAATGCCTGCTCTGAGCCGGGCAGCCTGTGCTGGGGACGAGGGAGAGCTCACGGTATGGCATGCAGTCCTCCCACGAGTACAGGCTGGAGAGGTGACTGCTGTCTGGCCAGGCTGGCTTCTGTCTCCGGCCCCCAGCATGGCTTCCTGCCCTGTTCTGCCCTTCTGTGGCAGGGCTGGCATTCAGGGACATTTCATGACGCCGAGATCACGCTGGGGAGTAAATCAGAGTGTGGGTGGCCCCAGACTTTCCACCCGTACATTTCCCTTTCCAGCCTGTGAATTAGTGAGTCCGGACTTCAGCTTCTCACCATCCAAGAAGCAGCCAGTGAGGGAGGAGACATGGCCATTGCCTCCTTCCTCAGTGACATTCAGTATCTTTGCCCCCCGCCCCCATCTGATGTGCTCAGGGGAGGGCTTGCTGGGATCATTCATCATGTGGCTGTTCCCAGGTGCCGTGGTGGGAGCATATATCTTATTCGGATGGTGTCAAAGCTGGTAGAGAACAGGATGTCTGCCAGGAGAACCCGGGGGATTCGCTACTTGCAGCCCCTAGTCGTGGGCGGGAGCATCATTTTACCCAGAAAACCAAGGAAATTTCCCTTCTCCAAAGAGTTAGTAATTTGCTGGTCGATATTCCTGGCGACTTTTTGCATTAAGTGCTGCTCTAAATCAAATATTGATGTTCTCATAAAGGTTTAGTGCAGATGAGTGCAACTCTTGTTGGTTCTAAGCGCTTCACGGGTGTCACGGGGAAAAGTTCAATAAAACTTGTAAATGACTGGTTTTCCCTCCCCGAATCCTCCCTTCTTTTGGAGCAGAGCGGAAGGCTGTCCAGGGGCAGGGTTCAGCCTCCAGGGCCCCATGCTGGCCGAGGCTCAGCCCCAGGGGAGCTGGGTGCTTCCTGATGCCTCCACATTTGGCTTCCTGAGAGGGTTGCAGGTTTTACTGCCTGTTGGCAGGGTCCAGCCCACAGCCGGCTTCTCTCTGGCCCGGGCTGTATTCTCTCGGAGAAACCTTTTATTTTGGAATAATAGTAGAATTACAGACAAGTTGGCAAGACCGCGCAGAGAACTCCCATATATCCCTCACCAGCTTCCGTTCCCCCAACGTTACCATCTTGTGTTACCATGGTGCACTTGGCAAAAGTAAGAAACCAACACTGATGCATCACTATTAATGGATCTCCAGACTTTATTTGTACTTTGCCAGTTTTTGCATTAAGATCTTTTCCTGTCCCAGAATGCAGCTCAAGATATCACAGTGCATTTAATTCTCAGGTCTCCTTAGTCTCCGCAGGTCTGTGACAGTTGCTCAGACTGCTGCTTTCATGGCCTGGGTAGTTTTGAGGAGGACTGGGCAGGTATTTGTAGAATGCCTCCCTGTTTGGGTCGGCCTGAGGGCTTTCTGCTGCTTAGCCCGGGGTTACCGACCTTTGGAAAGCATAGTGCTGACGGAGGTGGGACGCCTGTCTCATAGCTCCATTTCAGGGGCATGTGACATCCACAGGCCTCCCTGGCAATGTCCACCTTGATCACCTGGTTAAGGTGGTATTTGCCAGGTTTGTCCACTGTGAAGTTAGTGTCTCTCCTTTCCATGCTGTGCTCTTTCAGAGAGAGTCACTGTGTTGAGCTGGGCTGCATCTATTAATAGCTGATCATCGATATTTAAAAATCATGGGACTTTTTCAGGATACCCATCTGGCATTCTGTGTGGTAGCAATGGGCTGGCGAGGGGTAGCCACCGCCCCTTAGGCAGGGACCCAGCTCTCTGTCACCTACAGGCTCGCTCAGCCCTATTCCTTCCTCTCAGCTACCTGCCTGGCCCCTGAAGGCACCTGAGTTTGAGACCCCTGCCCCAAGGCACCTTCCTGTAGCAGACCTGCATCCCACCTGATCAGACAGAACTTTCCATTGACATAAGGGCTTTTAGTCCCAACATCATGAACCTTAGATTTGATCATAAATTTATACTTAAAAATAATGGTTATGCCCTTTTGGGGTCACAGGAAGAGAAATAATTGAATAGCTAGCATCATACAACTCTGGAGGGCTGGCATGAAAAACAGTTGCTTCCAGAGTAAAGGTCTCCTTCTCTGTCCCCAGGGTCCTTTAACCATGGGATTTCCCTGGAAATTTCCAAAGTTCAGGGGCAAAGAGCATATTATAGAGAAAACTCAGCCCCAGCACTGAGATGATTCTCCTTGAAAAAGCACTTGCTTCTCAGCTCTCTCCTTTACGATGAGAGAGTTTTGTGGGAAGCAGGAAACCTGCAGGCCCTGGAGAAGATTATTGTTAGCAGAGCTGTGAGGTGGGAGATGCTTCGTGCTGCATCTGTGAGTGCACAGCTTGGGGAAGGGCACTTTGGGGTGTCAATTATCTGAGCCAAATGGATTGAAGACCCCATAAACCCTTGCCCCCCACACCGTGGGGTGGAGCGGGCATGAAGGCGAGCCTGTTCTGGCCCGCGCGTGAATGTGGCCACTCGTCATGCGGGCCGATGTGCTCTTAGCAAGAGCACTGATTGAACCAACTAATTGAACCTTCCTTATTTTCTAGGGGGGGCTGTCGGGGGTCTACTAGGTGCATGGATGACAAGCGGACAATTTAAGCCGATTCCTCAGATCATAATGGAGCTGCCGCCCGCTGAGCAGCAAAAGCTCTTTAATGAAGCCACCGCCATCCTCAGGCACGTGGACTGGACGGACGCCGTGCAGCTGACCACGCTGGTCATGGGCAGCGAGGCCCTGAAGCAGCAGCTGCTGGCCATGCTGGTGAACTACGTCACCAAGGAGCTCCGGGCCGAAGTTCAGTATGATGACTAGGTCGCTCCTCCTGGGAAGTGCGGGTGTCATTTAGATGATTCTCGGGACTCACAGGAGGGGACAGGGGAGTTGGGGAAGCCGCACATCATCAGTGTGTTACCTTAAATGGAGTGAAATCTGCTGGAGAGGCTACTACTATGCTGTATCATGTTCTGGAAATTATTTATGAAGATGCTGTGTTTTGTGACAACCCTTTCACTGGGAGGCTGGTAGACAGCGAAACCCTGCCTGCCCCAGACATGGGTGACAGCTTCCTGAATCCACTGTCACTCATATGGGAGCGTAGCAGGAGGCCCTCGTGTTCCGTCTCCTCGCCTGTGAAGATGAGCCCTGTCCGAAGCACCCGTTACAGGACTGGTTCCTTCCCTGGGGCCCAGGGTCTCAGGACCTGAGAGCTGGCCTGTGCTGGAATTCACCTTTCCCTCCTGTGCCCCTTCCCTGACCAGTGACTCTGAGTGGCCCCACACAGGGTCAGTCGCCTGTTGAGCGAAGCCACAAACATCCAGGCCCCCAGCCCTTCTCTATGTAGCACACCTGGGCTCTCACCCTCCCAGGGGCTTCCTCTCCCCATTGGACAAGTTGTGGTACTTCTTGAGTTTTGCTTTTAAAATTAAATACTTCCAGCCAAGAGTATTGCTTTTTCTGACGTGGTAGGATCTAAGCAATGTGTCCACCCTGAATTTCCCCTAATACCATATTCACTTTGCTCTCAGAACTGTTACTTGACTAGGTGTCATCAAATTGCAGTAAATGTTTTCTGAACAGGGCTTTTCTCACAGATTTTATGTAAAAACATCTCTCACACCCAGGGTCGTACACGCAGAGCACAAGGGAACGTTCTGGATTTGTGGCTTTAAAGAATGACAGACGCCTCCCAAGTCCAGTGCCTGAGACCTAACTGCCCGGGTTTTCCTGCTTTGGCTCCTCTGTGCTTCCAGTATGCGCACACTGCCCGAGCCTCCGCAGGCCCCCAGGTCCTGGGCCAGGCAGCAGCTTGGGGCTCTCTCTAACGGGGAAACGGCACAGGCCACCCTGGGGGTATGGAAGGAGGCACTCCTGCGGAGGAGAGTTGGTATTCTGACATCTCTGTGTGTGTAAGGAAAACTTCAGGATGAATTAGAACCCATGCTGATTTAGGCCAGGGGAGGGACTTCAGTGGACATCAGGGCAGGACCTCTGAACTAGGACCCCGTGTCCCCTGGGTCTGGGACAGTTGGGCCCAACACACAAGCAATGAATGGGTGAGGCTTCCCCCACCTCCCCAATCACTTTCTTTGAGAACTCACGGACATGGGATCCTAGTTCAGAGGTCCTGCCCTGATGTCCACTGAAGCCCCTCCCCTGGCCTGCCTGCCTTTATTCCTAGGAAAAACCCTGACCCAACTCCTGACCAGTGTCCGGTCAGATGGAGCAGGCCTTGCTGAGTGAAGTCAGCCTGGACTAGCTGGGTTCTGGGGTCACTGTGATAGGCGATGGGCCTGAGAGGGCAGGCCAGACCTCAAGTCCTGTCTCCCCCAGGAGGTGAAAGCACTTTGCTGGCTTTTCCCTCAGGCTCTCCTCTCGGCTCCTGTGATTTTAGGATTCTTATTTCTGTGTCTCCTTGGCAAAAATTTTCATTTATATATATATATATATATATTTTTTTTTTTTAAAGATTTTTTATTTATTTATTTGACAGAGAGAGACATAGCGAGAGCAGTAACACAAGCAGGGGGAGAGGGAGAAGCAGGCTTCCCGCCGAGCAGGGAGCCCGATGTGGGACTCGATCCCAGGACCCTGGGATCATGACCTGAGCTGAAGGCAGACGCTTAACGACTGAGCCACCCAGGCGCCCCTCATTTATTTATTTTTTAATAGATAATTCCAGCCTGGTACTTAGAAGACTTAGAAGACTCTAGACAGTACAATGGAAAAGCAAGGCTTCCTCCACCATGAACTCCTGCCCCAGGCCCCTCCCCAGAGGCAGCCACTGTACCAATTTCTTGTGCATTCCTTACGTCAGTTTTTAAATAGTCTTTGAAAACCATTCACTTCCTTTTATTTGTCAGTGTTTATGGATGAAAGCTTAGAAGAATCCAGCAAAGGATAATGAAATCGCTACAAATTTTACCACCCAGAAAATCACTCTTAATACATTTGATACATTTCTTGCAAACCTTTTTTAATGCTATGTATGCACATTTCCAAAATATTTCCATTCTTACTGTTTAGACCTCTTTGATGCTTTTACCAATTAACATTAAATAACATTTGTGTTTAATTTAAAATTCCTTGTAAATATGTGTATATATGTGTAAATATGTGTAATCATACTTAGCCTTATCCCTGGTGTGGTTTTCATTGCCCCAGTGAACAGTTTGTGTTAACATTCTGTTCATATTTTAGACTATGACAGATAGTATTTTGGATAGATACCTCAAAGTGAAATTGCTGGATTAAAATGTATGCAATATTTTTTAAGGTTTTATATTCAGTCAGAATTCCCTCTAGACAGTAAGTGTCGATATCACTCTCCCTGCAACCGTGTTTGGGGGTACACATCTCACTGCATCCTCACCAAGAAATAGGATGATAGCATCTTAAACCTTTGTTGATTTGATGGGTGATTACCGACATCTTGTGTTGATTAGTTTTTCTTTGCTAGTGGGGGTGACAAGGCCAGGTCTGCTCCTGGTGGCCATCTTCCCCGGTGGTGTTGAAAGCCCCCCGGACCCCCGTGGCTGATTCCCAGCAGAGGGTGAGGGGGCCCTGACCTGAGCAGAGGGCTAGCTGTGGGCTGGCCCCCTGTGGCTGGCAGGGCAGTGGCTGGCTGGGCAGTGGCAGCGGGGTGGCCAGGAAACAGCAGGGGGCTGCCAGCAGGGCAAGGGGGCAAGCTGAGGAGGAAGCGTTGGTGGGGAGACCCAATAATTATAAAAAGAAACCATCTGTTCTGGGCCAGTTATTAACCTGCTTTGGGTGTTGACATGACAGCGCCAAGCAAGATTTTTCACAGGCAGATGGTGTATTTTTAGCTAGAATGAACTTTTTTATTTTTCTGTTTTTTTCAGATGTCTGGCTTGGAAGTAAACACGACTGGGGTGTGTTGCAATGCGGGGTTTGTCAGGGCAGGGGCTCCAGGTTTGGAAGGAAGCGATACTCCCCCCATTAGTTATTGAGAGGTGCCATCTAGTGGGCAAGTAGGCACATCCTCTCTCTTTTTCCTCCCTGCCTTCCTGGGTCACCTGCCAGGCCAGGATGTGGCTCCACCAGAAAGCCCTTTTATGAGTTCCCCAGAGGACAGGGACTGGGATCTTCCTGAGGTTTTAATAAGCCATGAACAGAACATCAGCCATGTCTCCTGCAACCTTTTTTACAGATAAACCAGAATGTGTCTCAATCCTGAACAATCAACATATGGCAATTAAGAAATGCCAGGATTCGTCTACACCACACAGGGAAGGGGGACCGTCTGATGTGTTTTCTGTTTGTTGGAGGAGATAAATGGCTTCTTGGACCACTGTGATAACAGTGGGTCAGGAGGTGAAGCTCGGGCCTGGCCTGCTGACTTGCAGCCTTGGAAGGCTGTGGGTACCCCAAATGCTGACAAGCAGAGGGATCCGAAAAGTGTTTCTCTAAACTATCGAGATGGTGGCTGTTTCTTTAATTTGTGTGAGTTTTAAGGGAAGGACTTTACTCGTTTTCATCTGCAATTGAGCAAATGCCAGGATAATACCCAGGCAGTATCTGTTACCTAACAATTAATTGGTAAAAATAAACAAAAATGCTCAAACCCGTAACCGGTAGGGGCATAGGAAGACCACGCACACGCGGAGCACGCGCACGCACGCACGGAGCACGCGCACGCACGCACGGAGCACGCGCACGCACACACGGAGCACGCGCACGCACGCGTGCACAGAGCCCCGGAGAACGTACGTGGTGATATCGTCTGCTGGGAGGGTGATTTGAGAAAAAAAAGTCACAGGAACCATAAGATTGTAAATACTTTGCAGCCAGCACTTTTCACTTCAGGGAAGACATTACAATAAAATAATTCAAGTGGAAGGAAGATGAGGATACTCCTAGCACTGCTGTTTACGGCAGCAGGAGAGAAGGGAGCCCGCCCAGTGCTGAGCAACAGGGACAGAGTCAGACGGCCTTTGTGGGCAATGTCATAGCCACTTTTGATAAGTAGCCAACAGGGATGGGTGTATGAAATTCAGTAGAACTGCTCCGCACACATTATTTACTGTACAGCAACCTCACACGTACGTGCATGCGAGGGGGTATAATAAAGAGAAAGACCAATTGTAAGGGGTGCTGGTGACCTACGGGCTTCCCGGGCAACGAGATCGTGGCTCAGAGGAAGCAGTGCAGGCAGCCGAGAATCTCCAGGTGTGGGCATCTCGTGCCCGCGGCGAGTCCAGTGTTGAAAAATGTGCATTATTTACCTGTGCCTAAACCAAACGAGAACGAGCCTGGGCCCCAGCTCCCTGGGGCTGCCTCCCAGGGACTGTCCAAGGCCGCCTGCGCTGGGCTCCAGGCTGTGTCCTCACGAGGCTGTGTCCTCACGAGCCTGCCCCGGGGCCCCTACCTCCTCTGAGGCATGGCCCCGCTGTAACACGCACTTGGAGGCTCATCCCCAGGTGGCGGCACAGACGTCCACGGACCGCGGCAGGAGGGCCTGCCATGCTGGGGGCTGTTTTGGATGTGGGGTCCTCCCTCTAGCATCTCTCCAACAGAATCCCAACGAGCCACAAATGTCAGCCACATATATAACTTTAGATTTTCTAATAACCACATTTTTAAAAAGAAGAGACAGATGAAATTCATTTAATAATATAATTTAACCCAATATCCCAACATATTATCATTTCAGCATGTAGTTGATATAAACGGTTATTGAGATATTTTCCTTTTTTAAAAATATTAAGTCTTTGAACCTGGTTTTACACTTGCGGCACATCTCCATTCTGACTAGCCACGTGTCAATCCACATGTGGCCAGTGGCTACCATATCAGACCTCATAACTCTGTAAGATACATGATAAAAAATGTAAAGATGGAAGATTTTTCTTTTCCACGTGGGTTGCCAGTGATGCGGACATGTCCCTGTAAGGGCCCGGAACCACTTTCTGTCCCTTCTCTGTTGTGAAGTTCAGCATCTGGGATTCTTGGAGGTCAAGAGCAGCTTGGATGGTGTTGTGGACTGGATTCTGTGTGCCCCAAACTCATATGCTGAAGCCCTAACCCCCAGTGTGATGGCATTTAGGGGTGGGGCCTTTGGGAGGTGATGAGGTTAGATGAGGCCAAGGTGGGGACCCCCAGGAAGGGATTAATGCCCTTATAAGAAGAAACACCAGAGACCTCACTCACTATCTCTCTGCCTTGTGAGGACACAGTGGGAGGACAGCTCTCTGCAAGCCAGAGCTCCCATCAGAACCCAACGCTGCTGGCAACCTCTTCTGGGGCTCCCAGCCTCCAGACTGTGAGCAATAAATGTCCATTGTTAAGTACAAGTCCATTGTTAGTTAAGTACCCAGTCTTTGTACTTTGTTGTTGGCAGCCCAAGCCCCTGAGACAGATGGGGCATTGGGAGAGTTGAGAACTTACTGGTGACTCCCTCCCCACCCTCTCTAATTAGATTTA